AACAAGGCCTAGACACAATCATTGAAGCTGAGCTGGGAAAAGGAGAGGCCATGCTGGTGACATCATCAACCTGTGAGCCAACTGAAGAAGGTTGTCCCACTTTGGGGGCACAAACAAATTGTAAACACACTTTATTCCAAAAGCACCTGTGTGTTCCAAGGACTGTACTTCTTGTATGAAGTCAGGTACTAACTTCCTTCCCTCCCTATAAATGCCTTGCAACTCTTGATGGGAAGAAGACACCATCCAATGTTTAGGGAAACACCACTGGTGTATCAACTTAGTTCTCAGGTGACCATGTATCTCTCCAAAATGAGGCTACTCAAATAAAAAGCTGGTACAAAATTTGTGCCAGACTCAATACAATGTGATCAATGATACCACTTGGGCTCTGGAAGGTATTCATTTTCACCTCAAATCACTAGCCAAGGTTATTACGGAGGCTACACTTGCCCTAGATGTCCTCCCTGTGGACCAATAATGAGACTGTGCAATTGCTAAAACATCTTGCTATACTCAGATTAATGCTTACAGCTAAATGGAAAAGCCAATACAGAAACTAAAAGAGAAAGCCACTTGGCTTTCTAGGGATCTACTCAGTCGGCTTAGTGCAGGACCTCAGGGGAGTGGGTGCACAGCTAAGCTTCGCACTGCAGGGTGGCCACATCCTGCTACTTGGAGTTCTGCTGAAACAGCTGTCTTAATTAAATCCAGTGTGAGAAAAACTGAATGGATTTGGTCCAAGTCCCCTATTGGTCAGATTAATCCAAGTGGTTACGGAGTAGCATTCTCATGAGAAAATTCACCAGAAGCTGAGTGTAGAAAAACCATACTGTGGAAGAAAATTCTCCATGGATCCCTCAGATTTCTGCATATCTTATACACAAACATAGAGCCAGTCTTGTTCTGTCTTTCGAGTTGTCTATATAGCCAATTACCTTACAAAATACAACCTTTCTACCTCCAGAATGGAGGACAATTATTTAATGTCCAGAATAATAAAGACAATGGCCCCTCTGGGGAAAAACCTGGGCAGGTTTGCTTGCAACTCGTTATAAAAGATGTGGGTTTCCTAAAGCCCAGAGTTTCTCAGCTGTGATGTGAACCACTGCGCGCACAGTGCACACGAAGGTGACTGCACCATTCCGCACCGGACGCGGGGTACGGAGGCGAGAGGAACTGATGTGAACATGAACTTCAGGCTGGTCTGTACGCTGTGAGAGAAATAAAGTCCTTTCTGACTCACGAAGTTTCATGTCTTCTGCCAGCATCCATAAAACTGTGGCATGCCAACTTATTAGCTTGCAAATAGGATAAAATCTCACACCTGTCACAGTTCTTGACAATACCCCAACTTTAAAAATGGGCAAAAGATATCACAAAGAAGATAAACAGATGGCAAAAGAGCACATGAAAAAAGGCTCAACATCGTTAGTCATTAGGGAAATGCAAATTAAAACCACTATATACTTACCAACTTAGCTAAAATAAAAGTCTGATCATATCAAGTATTAGGAAGGCTGTGGAGCAGTTGGAACTTACACACTACAAGCTGGAATGCAAAATGGCCCATCACTTTGGAAAACAGTTGGGCAGTTTCTTAAAAAAAAAACACAAAACTAAACACATCCATAATACAACCCAGCTATTCCACTTCTAAGTATTTACTGAGAGAAATGAAACCATATATACAAAGATTCATAGCCCTTTCATTTGTAACAGCCAAAAACTGAAAATAAAATCTAAATGTCAATCAACAGATGGTGTATGTTAGTCGCTTAGTCATGTCTGACTCTTTCCACCCCAAGGATGGTAGCTGGCCAGGCTCTTCTGTCCATGGAATTCTCCAGGAAAGAATACTGGTTGGAGGTTGCCATTCCCTTCTCCAGGGGATATTCCCAACCTAGGGATCAAACCCAGGTCTCCTGCACTGCAGGAAGATTCTTTATCATGTGAGCCACCAGGAAAAGCCCAGATGGTATATTCAAACAATGGAGTAACAGTCAGCAATAAAAAGGAACCCACAACAACATAGACAAACCTCTAAAGCATGAGGCCAAGTGAAAAAAGTCAAGCATGAAAGACTACACAATATAGGAAGCCATGTATATGACATTCTAAATAAGCTAAAGCCACAGTGATAAAAATCAAGATCATTGGTTGCCTGGGGCTGGGGATCACGGCTGATTGCAAAGTTATAGGAAAACATAGGGAGATGGGAATGTTTGTGGTGGTGGTCACACCACTGTGTACAATTAACAAACTTCAAACTTTACATTAAAATGAGTGAACTGTATTATGTGAATTATATTTCAAACGGCTGAGGAAGAAAACATCTATAAGGCAACTGCTGCTTCCTAAAAAGTAACAGGAACCTTCTCATACAGTTTTAAATAAAAACAATGATGCAATTTCAGCAAAATAAGGTCCGAGAATCTTTTCCAGTGCCATTCAAAAAGTTTACCACTGTATTTCAAAAATACATGCATACTGCAAATGCTAGAAGAGCATTTATTCACCTTCTCCATCTGCAAAACAGTTATACAATAAGATTCTCAATATAGAGCTGCCTTCACCTGTTGACTTAAACACAACTAAATTATCCAGTTTTTATCCCTAGATTGCATAATATTGACATACACATAACCTATTAAAAACAGCCAATATGTAATACTGCTACCTTCCTGAAGAACTCTTCAGACTGCACTGCATGTATAACTGGTTCATCAACAATTCAACATGCCAACATATTTATCTTGGCAAGCACTGATGGCTGTAATTACTGTAGGGACCTCGGTCTTATAATAAATCTTCTAAAGGTTCTAAATGGCTGTACCCAGCTGTTCTGACCTTTGACTAGACACATAAACTCAGTTAAATGCCTCCCAAATCCAACCTTGTCCATTGTCAGAGAATATGTTGCGATGTTGTGCTACTCAGGACTTTCCCTATAGTGAGATGCTACTCACTACCCCGAGCAGCAAATGGACCACACAGAACATGTTTTCAGAGAGTTCTTATACAGGATTTAACCAGAAATCTGATGTTGCCGAATCTACCTCCACTTTAATACAGTATGATCTAATCAGGTACATATCCACAACACACCTTTACTTTTGCCATCCAGATCTCAGCTCTCTCTGCAGAAGAATGCTGGCCTAGTTTTAATTGGCATGCACCATTCATCCATTCATAAATGTTTACTGCACACAAACCATGTGCCAGATGCTAGTCACCAAAGAATATATACACACCAAGTTCCTATCAGAAAACTCTAATCTTGAACTCTGTCACCAAACTAATTAAAAGCTCATTAGGAAAAAAAGTATTTTTGGATATCTACAGTTCAAGTATTTCTAAATTATTTTAAATTACATCTAACTGAACCACATCAGTGAGTCAGACTAAATCATTTTGTCCCATGCGAAACTGATTTTTACCAAACTTCACCTCCATGTTTTACCAATGACCTATATCAAAGGTCCTAAGAAACAGAGCCAGGGGCTACCACCAGTAGTAATTCACATTTAGAGTCCTAAGTGCCAGACTCCAGGCTAAGCACTTTACATTCATCCATTCAACCCTCACAAATAATCCTATGTAGAAAGGTCCTTTATTAATCCCATTTGACAGATAAGGAAACTGCAGAGCTGATAGGAGATGGGAGTAATTTCATTAAGGCCACATAGTGGCAGAGCTGGCATATTTTTGAGGCAGCCTGTCTCCAAAGCTCTTGTTCTTACTCACTACATTACAGTGCCACTATTCATTATGTAAGATGTTGAGGTATTTATTCATGATACCACTTAATGTCTTCCTAATAATTTCCTATGAGAAATTGTGTGTTTTAATACCAAGAATGGCTCCTAAGCAATTGATTTGTTCTCATCCTATAACCATAAATAATGTAACTGACATTCAGTCATGTCCAACTCTTTGCAACCCCATGGACTATCAAGTCCATGGAATTCTCCAGGCCAGAATATTGGGAGTGAGTAGCCATTCCCTTCTCCAGGGCAATCTTCCCAACTCAGGGATTGAACCCAGGTCTCCCACATTGCAGGCAGATTCTTCACCAGCTGAGCCAGCAGGAAAGCCCTCTTTTATACTAGGTGCTTCAGAACTCAGAGCTACATTTAGTCTATCTGGCAAGTACAGACTCAAATGGCATGTATTTTTGCCACCATATTTCTAACTTCACTGATTATCACCTCACCTGGCCTATTTCTTATATCTTCACCATATTTCTCACTTATTTTTAAAAAATACCATGTTAATCTTTGTAAGCCAAGCATTTTTTAGAATAAGTCTTGGTACAAATAATTAACAACTTGACTCCACAGAACAGTGCATAGGAACCCAGAGAACTTCTTAAAAATTGCCTAGCCCTCCTTATTTTATTGGGGCTTCCCAGGTGGTCCAGTGGTAAAGAATCCGCCTGCCAATGCAGGAGATGCAGGAGACATGGGTTCAACTCCTCGGTCAGGAAGATCCCTTGGTGGAGGAAATGGCAACCCACTCCATATTCTTGCCTGAAAAATTCCATGGACAAAGAAGCCTGGTGGGCTATAGTCCATGGGGTCACAAAGAGTCGAACACGACTGAACATGAACATGCCTTATTTAATTAAAAATAAAATATGCTATCTTTGTTAATATTAGGACAATTTTTACTGTAAGGACAAGAAATCAAGTGTGAGGGAAAGAACAATCAGCAACCAGTAAAACTTAAAGCGTGCTAAATCACGTTAGTCATGTAAGACTCTTTGCAACCCTATGGGCTGTAGCCTGCCAGGCTTCTCTGTTCATAGTATTCCGCAGGCAAGAATACTGGAGTGGATTGCTATTTTCTTCTCCAAGAACTTAACAGATCCTTAAATATATTCCTGATTTCAAACTATCAGTTCTTTATGACATAACACATACGATAAATTCTTGCCTAAGAGTCAGGGTGAACATGACTGAAAGTAACTATCTGCGCCTCATTAAGGAAATAATTACCTGACTTCAAGGGCTTTGATAGCTTCTAGCATCTGTAGAAACTCTGCTGCTTTCCATACATCATTGGCTTCTTCTTCTCCTTGTATCATTAACTTTGCTGTATATGTGAACTCAATCAAATGACGAAAGGCCATTTTACTAACACCTGTAAAAAGGATGTGCATTAACATGCATTCACATTGATTCAAATCTTACAACATTTAGTAATGGGAATAAAAAGAAGCCCAATGTTTGAAAACAGATTAGCATTTGTCATTTTGGAAGACAACTTCTGGGCAGAATTCTCACTTACAGCATAATACTGTAGCCAAATTCAACACTAACTAGCAAACTTCTTTAAGATTTCCTTTCCCAAAAGATTTCCTAAGGTTCTTACAGAATAGTAAAATCTATCACTCAAATACACAAATGTAACTACTACATCAGAAGTTCTCCCTCTTGCCAGGGAGCTGTGTGTCAACTCAGCTCCAAAATCATCAATAGCTTTCCACAGCTTAGCAAGTAAAATTCAGTACCATTCTGCCTTTATTTCAAGGTCCTTTACATTATTTTTCTACTTGCCTATTTTTCCGATCCAAATTTTAAAATGTATCAAACCGACATTATATACTGATCCTCAAACAAACCTGTCACTTTCTAAGCACTTCCTTGCCCTTTAACACCCTCCTTTCCTGAATGCTTAATCACTTTATTTCTGGACAAATTCTATGACCCTTGAGGGTCCAATTTTAATGCCATGTCTTTAATGAACCTTCTTTAATACTCCCCTCAGGCTGAACTCTGTACCTAGTCTGATAGTTAAAATTCAGACAACTCTTGACTGCAAGTTACTTGAGGAGAATTTCTGTCTAAACTCACCTCACAGTATCTAACACAAAGCTTCCTAAAATGAAAGCACACAAATTTGGTATAAATAAAGGCTAAAGTCATTTTTATATTAAGCTTCCATAATTCCAAGCTTTCTTTACAAGTTCTATGTTTAGATTTTGGCCCAAAATGATACTACACTTCCCTGAGCTCTTCAATGCTATGTAATATTGCTTCAGTCTGCTAATGTGAGGTATGAAAAGCTACTGACAGGAACAAAGAGAAAACTTTTTGCAGGCTTTTTTATGCTAAGAAATGCCTAAGACCAAACTGCACACAATATGCACAATTACAAAACAAGAATGTCCTCTGGCAGTCCAATGGTTAAGACTCCAAGATTTCACTGCCAAGGGCATGTGTTGTTAGATCCCTGGTCTAGGAACTATGATCCCAAAAGCCACTTGGCGCAGCCAAAAAAATATAAAAATATTTTTATGTTTTTCCAATGCAGTTTATACACCTGAATGTAGCCTTCCAGACAACAGTAAGAAAGCTGGTGGAATATCCATCATCCTCTGTGTAAGGAAAAATATCACTCAGGAGGTCAGAACTTTCAAGTTTTAGTCTAGGCACTCCATGACTTGTGCAATCTGGGACAAGTCAGAACCTCTGAGTCTCAGAAAACTCATCTTTAAATTGCCTGACAACAATGTGAATACTGAAAAGCACTATAGAATACAATGTAACTTGACCAAGTTACATGCTACCAAATAAGCAACTAAAAATAACTGATTCACTGAAGGCTAATTTTATTTGGGTCTCCTAAGTCTTTTTTCTCTTGGCCTTTTTTTTTTTTTTTTAAATATTTAATTGTGGCACACATGATCTTCAATCTTCATTATGAACACAAGCTCTTAATTGCAGTATGTGGGATCTAGTTCCCAAACCAGAGATTGAACCTGGGCTCCCTGCATTGGGAGCACAGAATCTGACTGACTAGACCACCCAGGAAGTCCCTTTCCTGGTTGACTTTTGACAGTGTTATTCAAGAGTAGCCTGAGGAACAGACAACTAGATTTTGCTTCCTTTTTTTTTAAGATGTTTTGATCAAACATTTAAAAGTGAATCAAAAATTCTTCCTATAAACGATGTGCAAATTTTTCCTGAAGTGGAATGAAATTTGGGTTTTTAATTAAACACACACACACATATATACATACTATATATAATCAAGCAGGCCTCTAAATACTGAGGCATGGAAAAGCTAAATAACTTGCCAAAGTCACATAGCTATTAAGTGATAAAACTAGAACCAAACCCAGATGGTCTGGCTCCGAAGTCCATGATAAAGATTTTTGAACATGATGATGCCAAGGAATATTCCTTCTTGGAAGAGTCTGAATACCCATGGTCTCTCTCACTACGGGACTGACTGCAATCTCTTACGTCCAAAGTCCCCCACATTTCTTAAAACCAAAAGTTCCCAATAAATGTGGCAGCAAAATTTGATCTGAACCAACATGAGGCTATTTATAATCTTTATCCCACTCACAGTAAATTTTAATAAGCTATGTTGCTTATTAATAATACACTGGATTATTATCTGGTTATAGGATACTGCCCTAGGCCCCACTGGGAGTACTGCGGAATACACATACTGGATTACCTTAGGAAAGTCTAAAAGTTAGGAATTTCAAGAAACATTTGACCTTCAAGGACCTTTGGATTTAGCTCCCAATCTTGGTTAATCAGAGTCACCTGTGACTTAAGCATGGGTTCCTCATCTCCAGAATCACAACTGAGGGAGTGAACTGTTTTTTATAAGCACCGAGGTGCTTCTTAGGTGGCTGGTCCAACAACTGGTCCTAGGAATAAACCACGGACCTGACTAATTAGTTAACAGGAACCAAACTTACAACACCTTTATAACACCTGCCCAGGTAAGTGAAGGGTTGGTAGGTAATGCACAGCCCTGCGAAAATATTTTATACTCTATCAGGACTAGTAGGCTAACTTTCAAATTTCAGCCCATGTTTTCAATCCCTTACTCCTTTCAAAATATAAACGTGCAAGAAAATACAATTTTTTAAACGAGGTATCTAAGAAAAATGTTAATACGAACACCTCAACCTGGGTCATTGTTCCCACTCAGAAAGAGGCAAAGGGTTGAGGGGTAGAGGGCATTCTGGAATTTCTCTAGTCTATAGAATTCCCCAACTAGTGGAAAACTCCTACTCAACTAGGATGTATAAACATGTCCTTGCATGTTTCATTCTTGATATTAGGAGCTAAAATTTTGGACAGAGTTGCTGTTTGAGAGAAACTAGGTGCTTATGGATCTGTGGTTTCAGGGGAAATAAAGAATGGATTTGGAAAATTGGAAGCTCGGTTTAGAAGGCTGTTGTGTTCCAAACAAGGAAATCAATGTCTGTTGAAGATGTAATATGGTGTGAATCCAAGTCACAAAGCTTAGCTGGGATGCTTCTCAGTTGAAAAAACTATTTTAAGTCAAAGGTGAACTTGTAGTCCTATCAAAGATAACTCACTTAATCAAAGAGAGAAAAAGCAGAGAGAGAGCTGGGTCAGCTTGCATCTAATGACAGTTCATACTCATAGAACATAGTATAATTTAAATTCCCTTTATATACGCTTGTTTTACAAAACCCTAAGGCAGTGGTTCTCAACACTGGCTGCATACTGGACTTATCCTAGGGCAGAGCTGCCGTAACTTTGCTGTTCAAAGGAGTCATCTGAGGATTCTGTTCTAATTCAGTAGGACTAGGGTAGAGCCTGAGAGTTTCCAGCTCTCACAAGCTCCTAGGCGATGCCATGTATCCTCAGACCACACCCTGAATGACAAGGACCTAGAGAACTTTAAAAGACAGATGCTTAGACTTCACCCCTCAAATAGTGAACTGATCTGGAGAAAAACCCTGGCTATTAGTACTTGCAAAAGCTCCGCTGGTGTTTCTAATGTGCTGCTAAATATGAGAACAATCACTATTTTACAGACAGGAGTTCCAGTTTTAGCTACGATGAAGAAAGCATACTGCATTCTATCTTGTCCATTGATACAACTAAAGACCCTGGACAGAACATCTAACGCAAATATAAAAGGACTTTGAAGAAAAAATAGAAGAAAAGAGCCTGGGGAGAGAAACAGAACTCAAAGAAGAGCAGTGAGTTTCCTGTTTTATATTTTTGCTCCTCCATAGCACAGCCTGAGGACAGTGAAACTCCCATAACCGGGGAGTAGGTGCAGACAGAAACAGTTCCAAGAGGGACTGAGCAGAGAACTAGGAAAGGAGACGGAGCGTGTGTGGCGGTGGGAAAATAACTGGTTTTATTCCTCTCTCAGCTCTTCCCCAGTTAGAACGCTGCATAACTGTGGCGAGCTGCCACCAAGCAGGCACCTAAACTCTATGACAAAGTTCCTCTGGCTGAGAACTAGGAAAGAGACAATCATCTGAAGAGATGGAGAGAATACTTGTTATTTTCCTCTCTCACCATTTTACCCAGGAAATGGATCCTATCACAGAAAATGTAGGAGACCACAGAGAGGCTAAATTCCCAGTTTTCCAGCCAGAGGAGCAGGAAAGGGAGCTCTGGGGAGCTAAAGCACAGAGAAAATCAGGAGGGGGAGCTGGTGAAAAGTCCAAGTCTGTCTATGCAGTCTTGAGCATACTGCCTAGCTACAATAATGGGAGGTAGCACAGCGAAGGCTCTGAGAATTAGACTGTGTGTGGACTACCACCCAGGTCAGCACACCTGGGGCCTGAACAGAACAAAGATGTTAAGAACTAAATTGGAATTGGATCCACAGCCCACACAAGGCAGTTTGAACCTAATCAGGTTGACTGCCAAAACAAAATAAACCACAATCAAATCAGTAACAAAAACCAAAGCATTTCCCAAAGATTCTAACAGATCACAGAGTATCAAAACGTAATATTCAAAATGCCCATGACATCATACAAATTTACATGACATATTTTGCAAATTAAAAGAGAAAACAAGAAAGATGTTCAGTGTTACACAACTAACCAACTGTAAAACTAAGACTACAACCCAGGTTTTCTAAGTGCACGCCCAGGGCTTTCTCCACAGCCAGGTGACCTAGCCAGATAGTAGTAAAGCAATTTCAAAGTTAAAGGCTTAAGAAGACACTGAGCCAAATTGATTCTTTAAACCTGGATCTGGCAAATAAAAACAAAGAATGTTTTTACATGTTTCCTTCTTACTTTCTATAGTTTAAATACTGAAGGTTGTGTGTCTTATACTATAATGGATCCTGACCCAAACATCAAACCCAGGTCTCCCACATTGCAGGCAGACTCTTTACCGTCTGACCCACCAGAGAAGTACCTATAATGGACATAGCACATCAGAAATAAGAAATAATTCCAAAGTAATTACTCTTGAGAAGAAAAGACCCTACTTCTTCAGGCAGGTCAGTATTCCACACTCCACCAGCAATACATATTCTAGCCCTGGCCACTTAACTTTTTGACTTAGGATTCTGCCCAGAAGTTACCTCCTCTGTGAAATTCTTCCTCTCTCAAAGCTTCTAAACCACTCATCCTTCTTCTTCCCTTCTTACACCATTTTGCAATAAAATTCCCTGCAACATTTTTTTGCACTCTTCTACCTGTTGCCTACCCATGATTAAATTTGGAAAATCTTAAGGGCTGTCTTATTAATCAATTTCTCATTTCCTGGATCTGGCATGGTATTAACAGGTATTAAATTTGATAAATAGCCCCAATTTAGTAAACTTTGGCAATGTACCAATCACTACGCCAGGCTCTGCACATGTTAATTCAATTAATCATTAGTACAAGCCTACTAACAATCATACTTCTCAGATGAAGCAACAAATATGCAATTGAAGTAAAGTACCCTGCCTGGGGTCTGATACCTCAGGTGAATAACTGGATGCAACTTTGCCTTGTAATAGAAACAAATACCATGTAGGATCCTGGAGTCTCACTTTAGTATGTTTTAAGGATTTCTGTTATGCCTGTGCTCTCTCCATCACAGATAACAAAAGATAATCTATCTATGGATACCAGTTAGAACACTAAATAAGCTGGCATTATCAAAGAGGATCTTTTAACTCTACGTGTTCTTTACTCCCCTAGGCACCAAATTTTTCCAAGGGAATACTGTTTCCAGGCAACCCGTTCATAACAGAGAATATATATATATAGTGAAAGAGATACAAAACCAAAATTCAAGAACCCCAAATTTATGTAAGAAAGCTGATTTATTTCCTACAGTTTTGGATTGGGGGTAGAGAGCAAGGTATTATAGTAGCAGAAAACAAAAGCATGGGAACAGCATAAACTGAATCCCTTGCTAGGTAGGCAACATTAGGTAAGTAACATTTTACAGCCTGTTCCCTGGTATGTAAACTGAAAATAACTTACTTCAAAGGATAGATGTGAAACTCAGAAAATGTACACAAACAACACAGCATAATACCAGGCACTTGATGGACTATTATTACAAAAAAACCAAGTATAACAATTTCTATTTTAGGACAACATGTAGTGGATAACCCCTTCCATTCTAGACCTTCTACAACCACTTGAACTTCTTTTAAATGTTACTTCAGTTAATCTTTCCCAGCCTTTTCCATATTATAGCAGCCCATTTCACACTGTGCATGTCACGCTAATACACAGGCCTGCAGCATCCTGATCAGTCTAAAACATAAGGCCACTAAATAAGATGGAAATTCACTTTAATACATTTTCAAAAGACAGTGACCACTGGTTGTAGCAATGAAAAAGACTCATTTAAGAGACCAACAAATACCATTTAACCTAAGTTTTTCCTGGAAGATCACTTTACCAAGCACGTTACTAAAAGTAAAAATTCTCAGGTGTCAAAAGAATAATTTATCCAGTCACCTAACAGGAACCACTGATACCTGTTTCCCATGGTATTTTACTAAATTACTGTCTAAAAAACTTCATCAAATTATGTTTACTAAACAATGTATTTGAAACAAGCATTTACCTTCTATCTCCACCAAAGGTTCCTGAGTAAACTCCTGAAAGAATTTATAGAAGAACTTGCTGCAAGCAGCCAAAACAGCCTTGTGGGCCTTAAAATGGTGTCCTAGAGAAAAAAAATGAAATCATCATATTCACAAAAAACAAAGTATAATAAAACAAGTTAAAAAATTAAACTAAAATCTTTCTTAATATAATTTTAAAAACCATATTCTGGGCAGCTATCTTGACAAATTTGAATCTCAATTAGACATGAAGCCAGATCTTTACCTCAAAGGCTTTACTTATTAAGTCAGTTTTTATAAAGGGCATCTTACAACATTTCAGGAGGTACCACTTTCAGGCAAAAGCATATCCTATTCAGTTGAAACTGCTAAATAGAAACATAACTCAAAAGACTATATATCATTGGAAAAGGGAAGAAAAAGCCAAAGAATAAGCACCAAGCTTGGTGTGTTTGCTATGAAAAACACTTTAGTATGCCTAATATTTGGAAACTCAACCTATAGCAGACCTATAACAAAGATCAGCGTGCCTTAAGTCTGTTTTCACTAAATAGAAAAGACACCTAAGCTGTGTTTGTCTCCACTGTAATGACAACTCTCAAGACTGGTAAATACCCCATTCTATTTTGGGGGTCACCAAAGCGGGTACCAGTCCTGGTAAGGAGTCTCTCACATTCTACCTCCAAGACCATTTGGGAAACTATAAAGAATCAACACTTACCAAATGACTCCTCTTAGTGACTGCTCAAAGCAGCTTAGCAGCAGAAATCTACTAACCCAACATTCAGAGACCTCCTCCCTAACCCACGCCCTCATCTTGCACTAAAGTGCGCAATGGAAACACTTCAAAAGACTGCAAGAAGTTAAAATACCATGATTACGTTTAGAGTGTGACCAGCCTTCTGCAGAATGGTCTCCGTTAAGGAATACTGATAAGTGTCCTTGGGTCCGAGAGCGCACCCTCCACAGACTTTCGATAGGTAGTCTACAGAAGGTGGGTAAAAAAGGCGGGTGGGGGAAGGGAAGAGAGGCTCTGAAGGCACAAACTTAGCTCCTCAGCCCACTACCCTGCTCACCGTCGACAATCAGGGTGATGTCAGTAAACCGGTCCTGCTCTCGCTGTTCATTCAATCGGTCCAGGATCATTTTATGATGTTCAGGGAACTCCTGAAGGCATTCCATCGTCTCTTCGGCCTCCATGGCCGTCCGGTTGCTCTACAAAAGAGGAGCATGATAATGTACACCCATGAGCTCGGGCTGAGGAACAAAACCCCTAAAGCACAAAATAACAACAAAAAAAACAAAACCCCAGCAACGTGAAAGAAAGGGGGAGGGTGAGGCAAGAGGAGAGGAAGGCGAGGGAAGAAAGAAAGGCGAGCCGGGCGGCCGCCGCGCGTTGGGGGCCGGAGCCGCGGCCGCGGGACTCCGAGCCTGACCTAATTGGAGTCGGGAGACGCGAGCTGGAGCGGGGTGGGCACAGCACCGGAGGCTCCGAGCGCCGGGGCGCGCAAGTCCGGCAGGGGAGGAGACCCTACAGCCGCCGCGGCCCGCTAACGGCCCGCCAAGCCCCTCGGCCCGGCCCTGGCTCCCGCCTTCCCGGGACCCGGTCCGGCCCACGGCCCACAACGACTCCCGGGTCGCCTCTCCCTCCCCCGCCCTCCCTCTTCTCCCCCGCCCCGACCGGGCCGGCACTCACTCAGGGAAGGAGGAGCGGCCCGGGCCTGCGCGTCACTTACGTCGACGTGCTACGTCACGACGTCGGACTCCGACTGACGCGAACGCCTCAGCGCAGACTAGAGAGCGGGAGAGCCACGCTCCCGCCCGCCCGCCCGCCCTCCTTTAATGGCGGGGCGGAGCTAACTGAGAGGATTTGGCGCTCGCGAAGCCTAGGCCGCTCGCGCAGGGAAGAGGAAGTCCAGCTGAGGCGTGGTTAGGCCGGTTTAGAGCTTGGCTTTGTCGGGGGTGGGGCGCCACCTTCCACTCACTCGCGCCACACTCCAGGTGTGAACACTTCCGAGCCAGACCTCAGAATAAACTCGCAACCGGTTCCGGGTGTGCTTTATACCGCTGCCCCCCCCCCCACGCCCCGCCCCGTCCCCTTTCCTCCCGAGGCCTAAGTCTGGCCGCCTTACCTAGCTCACGATCCTCCCTCTCTCCTTTCAGTCCCGAAAGCCTTTCCTTCTCTACTCTCCCCTCTCGGGGCGTAACTCGCCCCGCACTTTTCCCTACCCCTGAACAGCGCCTCTCCAGCCATTTCCTCGCCAGTGCCCGGGCGCTCCCTCTGCTCGGGTCCGGCCGGCGCACGTGCGCTCGCTCCGACACCCGGTCGGCCGCGGCGCGGGCAGCGGCGGCCACGGGCGCGAGCACGTTCCGGCCGCCTAGGATCTTCCTCCCGGGTGCCCGCCCTCTCTGTGTTCGGCGGGCAGCGCGTGTTTGCTAGACTTAGGTCCTGTGGCTGCTCGGCTTATTTCACGTGGTGCTGTTAAATGCAGCTCTCCATTTCCCAGGTCCCGCGCTTAAAGAGGCCAGTGACCCTAAGTCAGCCCCACGTGACTAGATCATTCATTCATTCCTCCAGGGGGTGGGGGGGGGATGACTTTTTGAGAATGAGACAGTCAAGATTTACTCATAGTTTTCTCTATAAAGAGAGATTAGGATTAAGGATTAGGAAGAATTTAAATAGCTGTCTGCAGGGGTAAATGTCGCTCAGTCGTTTCCCACCCTTCAGAACCCCATGGACTGAAATCCATGGAATTCTCCAGGCCAAAAGAATGGGTAGCTGTTCCCTTCTCCAAGGGATCTTCCCAACCAGGCATCCAACCCAGGTCGCCCACATTGCAGGTGGGTTCTTTACCAACTGATCCACCAGGGAAGCCCAAGAACACTGGAGTGGGTAGCCTATCCCTTCTCCAGGGGAATCTTCCTGATCCAGGATTCGAACCGGGGTCTCCTATCCTGCAGATGTACTGAGGATAGGAGAGGATAGTCCTTTACCGACTGAGCTACTGGGAATCTGGGCTTCTCTGCTGCCTCAGACGGTAAAGGACCCTCCTTGCCGATGCAGAAGACACAGGTTAGATCCCAGGGTTGGGAAGATCCCCTGGAGAAGGAAATGGCAACCCACCCCAGTATTCTTGCCTGAAGAATCCCATGGACAGAGGAGCCTGGCGGGCTACAGTCCATGGGGTCACATAAGAGTCAGACACGACTGAGCGACTAACACTTTCAAGGGTAAATGTAATGATTACTTCAGCAGACATTTATTAAGAGCCGACGTTGTGCTAGGCACTGTTTAGTGTTGGTCACTCAGTCATGTCCAACTCTTTGTGACCCCACGGACTGTAGCCCACCAGGTTCCTCTGCTCCATGGAATTCTCCAGGCAAGAATACTGGAGTGGGTTGCCATTTTCTTCTCCAGGGGATCTTCCCGACCCAGGTACTGAACCGGGGTTTTGACCACCAGGGAAGCCTAGGCACTATTTAAGGGTCTAGGAATTACAATGGTGAACAAGGCATATGTGGTTTCTGCCTTCCTGATCTTAGTATGATAGAGTAAATAGACATTACTAAACAGTGAATTTCCTGGGTGCTGACTGCTGCGTGTTATGAGACAGAACAAGCTAATCTGGAGGTCAAGGAAACTAGTGACATGTATGAAGTTTGAGTGTTCTTAGTCAATAATATGCTGAGGTGCGGGAGAGGCTAAAGCTCTCTGGAACTGAAGGAATGTTGCTGGACAGACCCACAAGGGTCTTGTAAACAGTGTTAAAGGCGTAGAGTTTCGCACGATGGCAAAGGGAAGTCTTGAAGATTGAGCAGGATAGTGACATCATAAATTTTACTTTGTAAAGAGAATTCTCTGGAGAATAGATTAAATGGGATGAAATAGAAGTAGAGATTAGTTGGGAGATTGTTAGTAATCTAGATGAAACCATGGTGGCAAATGAGATTAGAAAATTAACAGAGGGAATTGGCTGGTGGTCCAGTGGTTAGGGGCTTGCCATAGTGATAACCTGCCTGCCAGTGCAGGAGACATAAGAGATCTGGGTTTGATCCCTGGGTCGGGAAGATACCCTGGAAGGGTAAATGGCAACCCACTCCAGTATTCTTGCCTGGAGGATTCCATGGACAGAGGAGCCTGGTGGGCTACAGTCCATGGGGTCACAAAGACTTGATTGCAACTGAGTAACTTCCACTCACTCACGCCATTGGTTAGGACTCCAGTCTTCACTGAAGGGGCTGTGGGTCTGATCCCTGGTGGGGGAATTGAGCTTCTATAAGCCACCTGGTGAGGCCAAAAAAAAAAGACAAGAAGGCATTTTACATTTGGATCTGTATAGAGCTTGGGAGAGAGAGCTAACCTTAGAGATCTGGAAAATTTTAGCATAAAATAGCTGTTGAAGCCATGGGAAATGATGAGATCGTTTTAGGAGAATCTGTGGGGATGATGGACTACTGAGCAGCTTGTAGGTAACTCCTGGTGTTTTAATATTATTATCATCATTATTATTTACAGACTTTTAAGATGAAGAAATTGCACGTAGAAATAGGCGTTTTAGAAATTCCAATCTATATGGCCCCTTTCCTATAAAACAACAACTAGATTAAGCCAAACAGAGATTGCCATCTCTACATGGAATTTGAACTATCCAGTCCACCACAGCCCTATCACTTTTTAGAGTCTTAGACCCAGTGAACGCCATTCATTTTTACCTGCCTTTTTCTTAAAGCATTTGAATTTGGACTTTTGGCCTACAGGACCAGAATGGACATGGGTGAAGGACTTTATACCTAAGAAGTATCAATGTCTATAGGCTTAGCAGTAAAGAAAAAACCTGAAAAGACAGTATGGCAGCTGGAGAAAGGAAAAGCAGAGGAGTATGACATCAAGGAGGTCAATGTTTTAAAGAGATGGTATGATCAGCAGTGTCAAATGCTGCAAAGTCCTTAAGCTAAGTAAAGATTAGGACCGTTCCATGGTGGGTAGGGGGTATAGGAATAAATAAGTAGGTTAAGGAATAGTTAGGAAAATAAATTGAGTTGGCAATGATGAAACTGTCATTAAAAAATGAGAGAGGTCATAACTTTCCTTCCAAGGAGTAAGCATCTTTTAATTTCATGGCTGCAATCACCATATGCAGTGATTTTGGAGCCCCCCCAAAATTAAGTCTGACACTGTTTCCACTGTCTCCTCATCTATTTCCCATAAAGTGATGGGACCAGATGCCATGATCTTAGTTTTCTGACTGTTAAGCTTTAAGCCAACTTTTTCACTCTCCTCTTTCACTTTCATCAAGAGGCTTTTTAGTTCCTCTTCACTTTCTGCCATAAGGGTGGTGTCATCTGCATATCTGAGGTTATTGATATTTCTCCCGGCAATCTTGATTCCAGCTTGTGCTTCTTCCAGCCCAGCGTTTCTCATGATGTACTCTGCATATAAGTTAAATAAGCAGGGTGACGTACACATTACTCAGCCATAAAAAAAAGAACAAAATAATGCTATTTGCAGCAACATGGATGGACCTAGCGATTGTCATACTAAGTGAAGTAAGTCAGACAGAGAAAGACAAATATAATATGATATTGCTTATATGTGGACTCTTAAAAAAGGGTACAAATGAACTTATCTACAAAACAGAAATAGAGTTACAGATACAGAAAACAAACTTATGGCTACCAGGGAGTGAGTGGGGAGCGACAAAGCGGGAGAGTGGGGCTGACGTATGCACACTACTATATATAAAATGGCTACCCCAGTGGCTCAATGGCAAAGAATCCACCTGCAGTTCAGGAGCCACAGGAGATGCAGGTTCGGTCCCCGGGTTGGAAAGACTCCCTGGAGGAGGGCATGGCAACCCACTCTGGAGAATCCCACAGACAGAGGATCCCAGTAGGCTAGAGTCCATAGGTTCACAAAGAGTGCCAGGCTCCTGGTGTGAAGATGAATAAGACCGAGGCCAATGCAGGAGTTGGAGTTAGAGGAAGCAGGAGGTCCATCTGAATTAAGAGTTCATATACTTGAAAGGCCTCAGAGACAGAGTTACAGTGACAGGAATGCGAGATGGTGATTCTACAACTTTAACTTTTTGTCCCTGTTTGGCACTATCCATTATCTTCTTTCTAAAAATCCTGTCATTTGAGGGAGAAAGCGTAACTATATTATATTATACTTTTAACTTGCAAAAATCAGAAATTTGTTA